GAATCCAGAGAGTTCAAATTAATGTCTGAAAGACAAACAGACCTTGGTTTTTAAAAACTACTTGTAAGATTTCTAGAAAAGCAAATCAACACCCTGTTTGATGGCGGGGAACTTCTTTCAGGAAACCCAACAAAGTTAAGTCAGGTCCTCTGGACAGTTTCTTTGTGTTGAAACGTTTTGTCTTTCATCCAAAAACCTTCATCAGTCCGAGGAGCCACAACAAACTCAGTCTTATAAACATCACCTTCACGTAGTGGATCAACCAGTTTGATGGTGCTCAGATGGTTTCTGGAGTCCGCCCTCTCCACCGCTGACTCTTTTGAGGCAGTCATGACCCAAGTGGTTCAAAACATCAAAGTTCATGCTCAGTAATCCAGGTAGATAAATCCAACAAGCAGGTCCTCTGGACGGTTTCTTTCAGGAACGTTTTAGTATATCTGCTGTTCAGCTACAACTCATGTTTACTAAAGCTGCATTAGAGGAAAATATTTCATTTAGTTCCACCTCAAATCTGATTATCAGAAGTTTATAGAGAAATTTGTCAACAAGCACAAGAACTGCATGTACTCAATGAAAGTTTCTGATTAATGAGCAAAGTTTATTTAAAAAAGGGGATGAAAAGAACACTTGATCTGCTGTGCAGCACGGGGTGGATTAATATGAACTTTACTGCATCACTAAATACTAGAAATAACAGCTTCAATGTTAGGGTTTTGCATTGGACACATAGTTCCCTGACCTTTACATATTAATAGTAAATGTGTGGATATTACTTCAAATAAGTTGTACATGTAAGAAGGCCAAGAATCTTAAAAGAACTAGATGTCCTTTGCAGGAACAACTGGTAAAAAATTAAAATAAATCCCTCATTACTTTGGCCACAGAACAGTCTAATGTGTAGTCAGAGAGGGTGTTCTAAGCAAAATGCATTTTTATGGCGCTCAGTTTAAATCAAAGCTTTCTTCTTTCTACAATCAAGGAAGTCGTCAGCTGCAAATTTGGACCCTATCACGCAGCTTGCCTTTATGATGGCTTGGTTCATGTCTGGAGGACCCGGACTCAAATGCTTTGGGCTGAATGGATCAGATCTTGGGGATTTTTCATCGGTGTGGCTTGTTTTGGACATTTCAGAACCAAGTGGACCAACACAGACTCAAGGTTGATGTCATTAAGTTCTGCCTGTCCCCAAAACAACTGTGTTAATCTAAATTTGGTCGCCTTGGCTGGCCTGGAAGGCCATTTTATCTAAAGTCGCCTGGAGAAAATGTGATCTGACGCTCACCACCCCCTCCCAGAGGAATTTCCAACTGATAACCAGATGAGCCAGATGAATAAACTTTGTGTCATCATTTCAGGACTCTGGATTCTCATAGAGGTTATTCTTGGCCATTTCTCGACATACCTCGAGAATGTTTATGGATCTCACCGGAGGACATTGACTGATTACAGTGACCTCGAGAGCATCTATAAGCGTTGTTGACCGCTCTTGTCTCTGATGCAGAATGTCTACGTAAATATGTGCTTGTTTGTGCGAGGTGTTTTTTCAATATTGGAGGTTTTTCTCAGCCAAGAAAAAAGTCTGATAGGAATTTTTTTCACCTCCAACTCCTACATGTGTCCAGTTAACCACTGTTTTTGTCTGTCCAGACAGGTCTCACTTGTAAATGAGTCTTGGAGGCTCAATGTGATTTATCTGTTTAAATAAAGGTTGAATGAAAAAAAGATTTCTTTGTTTATAAAAATACATCAGCTATTAGATTTTAAAGTGTGAGATTAGCCTCGATCCTCTGGCACACAAGATAACATGTGAAATGCTGTCAGAAGGAAATTACTGAGTGTTTCAGGAAGCCACAATTCAAAGCTGGAATTTCTCTCTATCTGATGGAAACCTAACCTTCAAGGGGTTAAACATCCATCAGGGTACAGACATCTGACAGGAATGTTCCCCCTGAGGACATTTATCCAGTGACACTTGGCAAATCTCAGTTTGAGCAGCATTAGTCCTCTAAATCCTTAGAAATGGTGGCAACCTTTGCTAACGCCGTGCTGCGTGTTTGACGGACAGCTTCAGCCTGAGAATTCTGTGTGCAAAGCTCATTTGTAGTTTGTCCTAAGCAGATCATTGTCTCTAGTTTCACCACTTGTTCAAATATGCCTTGGCCTCCAAAAAGCACCTCCTGTGTGACGATGTGGCTGTGATCCAGGACTGGAAATGTGACTAAGAAGTTGATTTAAATTAAAGACTGCCAGAGCAGCCTTGGCTTGGTGTGGTCTCTGTAAGAAGGCCAGTTTGGTTAAGATGCTTGATGGGGGGGCAAAAGACGTAACAATTGTTCTTCAAGAAATAAATAATCAAACAAACACACTTCTTTTTTTTTTTTAAAGCTAGGAAACATCAGACTTTTCAGCAGCTGAGAAATGTTGCAGCATTCTGCTCGCTCCTCGGAGCACCACTGGGCTGAAGGCTTCTCATGTTAAAGCCTCGGCACTGGGTGTCAAACAGACCAGTGTTTCTGTGAAACTGGCCTCCAGCTATCTGCACAGAGCCCATAACTGGACCTGGACCAGTGCCTTAATGGACTGAGTTCAGAAAATGGAGCCCACAGAGGGCGGGTTAGTGATAAGAAAACTGCTTAGTTGTTTTGTTTCCAGCTGGGCTTGTCTGCTTCCCACTGCAGTAAGTCACTTTTAAACCTCCACCAGGAGCGTTTCTTCTGTGCTTCATCTCTGTCTTTGCTGGAGAAGCTGTTTGTGCATGTTGATGTGCTCTGAACAAATGGACACTTCAGCACTTCTGTGCTTTAAGCCCTCTTTGCATGATTTCCATATTGGCCAGCTGGACTGAGGCTGCTCTCCTTAAAGAAAAGTTGTATTAAATGAAGAGGTCGGTCAGAAATGATTCAGACTGTTTTATCAGACAAAGATCACTTCTTTAAACTGAGTTTTTCCATCAAATCTAAAGGCTTTAAAAACATTTCTGTCTGGCCCTCTGCAAATCTGTTTATGAATTTTTCATTTACAAATATTTTAACTATCAAATTGATATGTTCAAATCTTTATAGACCCAGGAGTCCTAATCATTCTTACGTTTTCTCCTAGTAGGAGATGGATGGTTTCAATTTCCATTCATGTATTTCAAGAGCAAATAAATAGTTACCAGAATTTATTTAATTGATATTCGGGGAAAAAATACATTAATGTTGACGATCTTCTTTTTTCCACATGTTGGACTAATGTTTTTTTGCTGTTGTTAAAAAAAGAAACGATTCAATTTGAGCTGGTGGCTGGATTGACTGAAAGTGTCGCACTCTCTGTGACCTCACTTTTTATTTAGTAAGATGATCAAATCACTATTTTTTCTTAATGAACTGTAATGTGTCTGATGTTCTGCCTTTGCACCTAAAAATATTCAGCTATATGTCCTAAAATACCCAAAACAATAATATCAATAATAATAAAAAGGAACAACAGAAAACATGATGTACTTTAAGCTGAATTCAAAGAAAAATAAAAAGATATCCAAATTTGATCCGTTTTGTCCTTTGGGGAAAAACGGCAGCAGATTTATATGAATGAGATTTAGTTTTCCAGATGCATTACATTTCTGATGTTTAATATTCATTGTGTAAAATAAACCCACAATTATATATATGTTTTAGTTTGTTCTTGTTTATCAAAGAATAAGAAAAACAGTTATATTTTCATTTTTGACACAGACACAAAACAGAATTATAATATGTTTCTGTTTTTCAAAATAGATTAAAGTAACGGATTAAATAAAACCTAGATTATTAATATTACATGAATAAATCTGAGCTGTTAGCGTTATACCACCATTATTTGGGATCATTACTGTTCTGAAAATGTCAGTATACAGTATAAAATGGCTGAAAGACCGCTGTGAGGTTTGTTTTAATGAAGCTTTTAGTTTTGTTTGACTCTTATCTAACGCTGAGCTAATGCTCCCAGTGCTGCCTCTTTGTGGGAAGCTGCCTTGTGAAGTCTTTCATGAAGCGTTTCCTGTCATGAGTGTTCACTGCACGTGTGCCCTCAGTTACAGTAGCCGATGCCATTTGCCTTCTTTCCCTTGATGTTTGGACCGATGACAGATTTTCTCTGTCCACATCTTGAAGTCTTGAGTTCCTATATTCTCCATTAGTTTCTGCAGCTATTTCGTGCTGCTGAGTGCTGAAGAAATGACACCCCACCCCTGTTCCTCACTGTGTAAATCCATGTAACATAGGCTGTCTGTTATACCCACTTCTTTTTTTGTCTGCACAGATTCAAAGCAAGAAAGCTCTCGATCAAATCTCCTCACACACCGAGTCACACTGCTGTGTCCCAAGACACTTGGGGGGCCTTGCGGCTCCCATCACCCCCCCACAACCCATCCGGGCGCCTTAATGAGGACTGGCCCCGGTGCGTTTGATCCTGCTGCCAGCTCGCAGCCCCCCGGCCCCTCGGTCTCATGTCTATTCAACAGTCCCACAGCCTCTACAGTTACTCCCCCACTGCCTCGGGTACAATATAGATTTAAAGCAACAACACTTCTGGGTGGATGTTTGATAGCAGAGCTGAAAATGTGAAGGGGGGTGGAACAAAACCATTGCAAGCAGCTGTACATTGAAGCAGCTCTTCAGCTGTGCATTGATTTGTTTATTTATTCATTTTTATGTTCAACTAACTGAGGAGTCACAAACAAACTGTTTGACTGTTTCAGTGACTCCTCAGATTGATGAAGCCCTTCAGATGAAGAGCGAAACATCTCTCCACAGCAGCTACAACAACAAAAAGAAAGAAACCGTCCAGATGACCTGACTGAACATTGTTGGACTGTTTATCTGGATTATTGAACATGAACCTTGTAAACTACTGACTGCTACAATTTTACTAATGTAGTCTTTAGGCTCCAATTATTTGTGTTTTCTGACAACAGTTGTGTGAGACTGTTCACTTCATGCACATGGAGGCTCTAAAGTGGTGCTTGTGTTTGTCCATAGGATGGTGGTTTGCTGATGAACAACCCAACAGCACTTGCTATCCATGAGTGTAAGCATTTGTGGCCCAACACACCCCTGGAGTGCGTGGTCTCGCTTGGAACAGGTCGCATTGAAACTGCCGGCAAGAACAGCGCCACGTACACAAGCCTCAAGACCAAACTTACCAACGTCATCAGCAGTGCCACAGATACAGAGGGTGAGTGCAGATGTTCAGAGGGAGGGGTCAGACGTTAAAGGGTGGTTCTGTGGAGAAATGATCGATTAATAACTTACACGTTGTAGATAGTTCTCTGAGTAGTCTTAGTTTGTCCAAAAGGACTATGAGCTAACAACTAGCTCAGGATCAGAGTGGATTGCTGCCATCTTAAAATAACTCCCATCTCAAAAACATTTTAATAACTGTTCTTGTTCACTCTATTTTAGCAGCTAGCTGTAGCACTTCCGGGGCAGCATGGGAGCAGTTCTTGCAGCGTTTCAAACCATTTCTTCTCGAAAAATTATATAATACAAGACTAGAGTTACATTTGGGCCCAAAAAAATCAGATTCGGCCGCAACCCATAGCCATAATTTTCTAACCCGACCCAACAAATTCACCCCCCCCCCCCCCCCCCGGCATTTTAAATTAAGCTTTGACTGTTCATATAGTTATTAACGGTCATCAGATGTGCGCAGCTGAGTAAAGGGGCAGAAGATCGGCGCTGAGGTGGTGTTTGTCCTTTCATGACTGTCAAAGCACATTTAATCCCTATTCTGCATTATTCAGACACAGACCCTGCTCTGTCATGTCTGCTTTGGGATCTCCCCAGTTTGTGTCGTTGGCCGCGCGTGTCCGCTGAGTGCAGCGGCTGAATGAACATCCATTTGGGAACTGGATCACTTCCTGGCAGTACAGTCCATCTGAATCTTAACTGAACTTTATTTTAACTCATTCAAGGCCGGTCAGCTCGCGGTGAAATGACTGCGTGTGGCTGGTAATTTTATGGCAAGCCATGTTGCCATATAATTGGATTGCAGCTCATCCGCTGACACAATCAAAAGCCTAACACCGACCGGCCCGCCCATCCAGCACATTATCATGGCCTGGCCCAAATTTGGGTTGGGTCGGGACGGGACAGGCTTCGGGCCCATGTTAGAAATGACAGCTCTATACTAGACTGACAATTGTTTAAAGCAGGGGTGCCCAAAGTGGGGCCCATGGGCCAAAGTTGGCCCGCCAAGCTGTCCCCATTACTATATTAAAATTTTCTTTGAAGAATCAATGTGTTTACACTCATTCATTCCACCCATGACTTTATTGTTAGTCGGTCTGACTACTATAATTTAACTACATGGATTACACAGTAGAGTAGATAATTTATGTATTTTTAAATAATTTAAGTAATTTTAATTTTATTTTGACAGACTTTCTACCATCCCTTGGCAGCTTCCTGCCACTGAATAACATTTTCCTTGATAGAATACACTTATAAATCACATGAAGTTTTTAAAAGTAAATTATAAATTTGAACTGGTTTCAGTGGTGATTTGAGCCTCATTACATTTAAATTCATCACCCCTGAAAAATAAAGAAACCATCATTAGGATTGTTTAAGGAAACAGTTTTCAAACCTTAGCATCACCATAATATTGAATAAATATGGAATAAATGACAACAGTCACAAACAGACCAATAAAATCTATGATTTTTTTTGCACGTGGCCCACCACCTGTCAATCAATCCAGTAAGCATGTCAGCAACTGACCAATCAGCAACCTTGATTGATTTGTCCTGAAGTGAACACCTCTTACCTGCAGAGCTGCAGCGGTGTTGCATGAACGCTTTGCAGTCAGAGATATTTCAATAATAACAGCATCTACATCTTTGGTTTCATGTTATTCTACTGTAATAAACCTTTTGTAAAATACACCAGAATGCAGGAAATGGCATCTACTTTATTCAGAATTCTCTGGGGGAGGACCCCAGACCCCCCACCACCAACAACACAGCCTGTTCTGTAATGTTCTTTATACAGAATGGAAGGTTAAATAACTGTATAATAAGTCAATGGACTTTACTTAAAGAAGTATTTGCCTTTCTTGTATAATATTATTGCATTTGGCCCACAGCCCTCTGATAGATTTTAAATTTGGCCCTCTCAGGGAAAAATGTTGGTCACCCCTGGTTTAAAGGGTTATAAAGTACCATTTGCATGAACTGCTATGAAGTATTGGAGACTGAAGTTGTTTTAAGATGATCCACTTTGGTCTTGTCAAAATTAAAGTATTCCTTGTGAAGCCCTTCAAAGAGCTATTTATAACAGGTAAGATATTATTTGTTCACAGCCTTTCACCAGAACCTCACTTTAACGTGACCAAACTCTTGAAAAATGCATTATATTGTGTGAAGCTAAACTTTGCCGGATTGAAAATTACATCTTTATGACGAGAGCACTCATTTTCAGGACAACAGTTGGTACTTTGTCAGACTTTTAGTTTTATAATATCGATTCGGTAATACACACGCAGGCACGCATGTATTTATACTCAAAATATTCTATTAAAACGGAATTGTAACGTATCAGATTGATTTAACTTTTAGCTGGTGTGCACGCCAACAGTTTGATTAGGTTGAGTATGTTAATTTCTCCAAACTTTAATGTAAAATGGAGAGTACATGTGGAAAACTCTGTGATCCTGTATGTATTCTAGGCAGGAGAATGTGTTTAGTATGTTCCAGTACAGAAAATGTTGCTCTTGATGTTGACTCGGACCAGGATTCATCCTGCTGTGGCCCGTGTGGATGCATCTTCTCCCTCTCCTTATCACCTCTCGACACTTTCTGCTGTGCCTAAATTTGTCTTGGCCCCCTCCTTGTTGATGCTGTAGTGCAGCATGTGACCCAGTTGCCTCCTGTTTTCCTCCTGTCCTGTATGTGGAATTAAAACCTCGGCAGCTTTCCACAGAGGCGTTTATGTTTAGAAACAGCAGATAAGTCGGAGTGTTTTATCTGAAAACGTCCCTGTGTGTTCAGAAGCCTCCTGCTTGGTGTTGGGAGTATCAGTGGAGCTCAGCTTCTTGTTATGAGCAGATAAGGCTGAAACAGGAGTTTAGATGCAATCATAGCCCCTAATTTGAACAAAACAGACAGTAAAACAGCTTTTGAGCCTGAGATAATGTTACTGACTGTTCAAAGTGACCTTGGGTTTGTTCTCCCACGAGACAACTGTGTGTTTCCAACCATTTACAAACTCTTTGTGACCGTACTGAAGTGCTGCCAAAGTAACCTGATTGTTTACAAATCAGGATGCTAAGTGTGTCGTGAGGCTTGCACAAGAAATTTAACCTTGTAGTGTTTGGACAAACAGTGGGTGGTTTGTGAGCAGAAGAGTCTCCATCTTTAAGTCTCTCTTTCTGGCTGCTGAAGACCCAAACTGACTTGTTTCTTACAGTTACAGATGGTGAATACATGTTTGGTTATGCAATAAATAAAATGCCAATTCTTATTTTGTAACATTTACTCCAAATTGAAAATACTTGATGATTGGCACACAGTTTGTAACCTGACACACCTTTTGGTGGATTTCATAAAGCTCTCTACTAAAATTTCCACTGAAACTGTTGAGAAACGTCAAATCAAACTTGACTTCTAAAGTGCATTTCAGGAGTAAAGCAACCCGCTGCTTTCCAACAAGAACATAAAAAATAATAAAACAGTGCATTTGGATGTACTTGCACATTCACATTGGCAGCACGACGCCTCAGTGGTTAGCACTGTTGCATCACAGCAAGAAGGACCTGGGGTCTTTCTGTGTGCAGTTTGCATGTTCTTTTCATGCTTGCGTGGGTTTTCTCCGGTTTCCTCCCACAGTCTAAAAACATGCATGTTAGGTTGCCTTCAGGTCCAGGCCTCCCTTGTAAAAGAGATCAGTGATATCAATGGGATTTGCCTGGTTAAATAAAGGTTAATAATAATAATAATTAATTCAGATACATTCAAACAAACAGAATCACTAAAGTGATCTAACAGGATATATAAGTTAATAAAAACCTAATCATAAGCTTTTGCTAATAGAAGCATTTTTAACTTTTTCTTCTAAATATTAAGGAGGATTCTCAGGTCTAGGACTCTTCTATTTCAATAGGGCACAGATAAAGAAGGTAGTTTCCCCTGATGTAGAAAAGGTACGGGTTATCATGGTCTGCAGATCTGAGTGACAAAGACACTTTCAAAAATTAAAATAAATAATATAAAAATGATAAAAATTGAAAGCTGAAGGACACATCTTAAGTTACTGGTCTGACGGTGTTCCAACTCAAAAATGGGCATGAAATATGGGTTGTGACTGACAGAATGAGATCCCGTAAAGAAATGGTTGAATGAGCTTTCTCAGTGGGGCGGCTGGGCTCAGCCTTCGAGATGAGGTGAGGAGCTCCTTCATCCAGGGGGAGCTCAGGGTCTCTGCTCCTCTGCATTGAAAGAAGTCAGCTGAGGTGGCTTGAGCATCTGATTAGAGTGCTTCCTGGATTCATCTTCAATAATCTTTATTGTCCCCAAAGGGCAATTTGTTTCACAGACAGTAAGCACACTAAACATCTATACTCAAGACATTCAGACATTAAAATAACAGAAATCATCAGTGTTCCTTGAGAAGCCTGAGCGCTACAGGGATGAATCAGTTTTTCAGTCTGTTCGTTCTACATCTGGGCAGCAGCGTCCAGATGGAAGCAACCTGAACTTACCATGGAGTGATCAGGATCTGCCAGAATCAGCCTGGTCTTGTCCTTGTGTGCCTCCCTCTGGAGATTTTCCAGGCACATCCCACAGGAAAGAGACCCCCAGGCAGACCCAGAACTCCCTTGAGGGATTATGTATCCTCTCTGGACTGGGAACTCCTTGAGTGCTGCTGGGGAGAGGGTTTCCTTTCTGGACCTGGTACCTTTATCACCTGACCATGGATATAGAAAATCCATGAATGGATGGACAAATCAATAATCAGTTTATAATTGCTACTATAAGTGACTCTGTTCGTCATATCAGCAATCCACCAAAGTCCATGCTCAATAATCCAGGAATAAAATCCAACAATGTTAACAGGTCATCTGGATAGTTTCCTTTTTGTGCTGAGACGTTTCACCTTCCATCCAGAAGGCTTCATCAATCTCGGGAAACACCAAACAAAACTGCTTCTCCCCCAACAGCTTACTCCAAAGTGGCAAAAAACCCAGTTATGTTGGTGATAAGCGTGTCTCTGGGACACGTCCTCTCATCCGGTGCCTGCCCTCTCCCTCGTCGACAGTCATGTCAAACTGGTTCAAAACACCAAAGTCCATGCTCAATAATCCAGGTATAAAATCCAACAAGGAAATGTCTCAGCACAAAACCGTCCAGATGACCTGACTAAACATTGTTGGATCATATCAACAATCTGCTGTCAGAGAAGTCATTTGGTGAAAGTCAGTTTGTGTTTAAGTCTAACTGAATAAATAAGAAATCACATTTTTAACTAGAAAAAGCCTCTTTGCTCTTCTTGACTTCAGTGAAGAAGATACTCCCCGGGTCTGATGTTATTAAAACCAGAGCAGCAGCTGTTTCAGGCCTGCAGTTTACCTGCCTGTAGCTACTGCTGAAAAACACTGATAAGTCCCAACGAAAAGTAAAATCCTACCAATTATTGTGATCAAAGGAGAAGTCAGCTGCCTCACTTCCTCTGACTCTGAAAGTGTCCTCATTATCTTAAAGACAATCTTGTCTCCGTCTTTTCATTAGGCTAAAGTTATTAGAATTTATTTGTACAGAGTTGAACTTTTAAAGCACATTGATTTTCTGTGTCAGCATAATGGAAGTAGATGAAAGTGATTATTCTTTAGATAAGCTTAGAGGCAGCCAGTGTTCAGCGTCTGTGTTCAACCTCCTGACCTACTGTGGGAACACGGTCACAAAATGATGTTGACTTTTTGAATCCACCCTGAATATTTACGTGTGTTACAGCCGCCTTTGTGTGAGTTCGAATGCTGTTGATTTTATAAGCATTCAGAAGAAAACAGTTCTGACAGGCGAGCGAGACGTTTTCTTTTGAAACGTGTTCAGACCTTCAGCCCTGAGCTCCTACTCACTGACACATGAAATGCCGTCACTGCGCTGACTGACAGGGTTCGACTCAACACGACCTTTTCCCTCCAAACGCTCTTGCTGAGTGTTTGTACATATAGGAACCATTAGGCAGTGTTTATAAGTTTGTTACATGTTTGACCTTTCTGCCCTCCAGAGGTTCACGCTATGCTCGACACCTTCCTCCCCCCGGACACTTACTTCCGCTTCAACCCTTTCTTGAATGAAGACGTCTCCCTGGATGAGAGCCGGCATGAGAAGCTCAACCTGCTGCAGGCTGAGGGCGTCCGTTACCTGGAGAGGAATGAGGAAAAGCTAAGCAAAGTCGCTCGCATCCTCACTCGAGAGAAGAGCTCCATCCAGAGGGTGACGGAGTGGGCCAAGCTCAAGGCTGACATGTATAACGGCCTTTCCTCAACGTTTTAGCTCCAAGAGAAGTCCTGTGTTCTGGCTCGAAGGCTTTCCTATAGTTCCAACTGTACACAAATATTACACTTTACCCCAATTAATGTGTCAAAGTTTATAATTCTATGACCAGTAGTTTGTGAATGTGTGAATCCATCCAACATGCCAAACACCTCCTTCTTCCTCAACAACACTTAATGGATATTTTTAATAATAATGTGCCAAAGGATTTGTCTCTTCCTACGAGAGTCTTTGTCCCTGCCAGCTACTTTGGCAAAGAAAATATCTAATTTTAGACTCATTTCAAAGACAATATTTTAAAATGGTTTTGAAATTTGGAAAATCTCCCAAAATCAGTAAATATTGCTCATGTTAGCAAAGGCAGCTGCAGTGTTGGTTCTTGGTGCCTCTGAATGTTATGGCTACAATCAGTGCAGATTGTCTTTGGTGAAATGTGAAGTCAAGGCCGGCAGAATGTTGACATCAGTTAGGCCTTTTCTTCACGACAACACAATCTTTCCAAAACAAACTTTTTGTTTGTTGTTTATGAAAACCTGTGTAAAGATGGCACAGTTCTTAGAAACATCTTCATCCACACTAAAACACCAAAATGATCAAAATGCAGTAGTAACTGTTCCAGGCCTGTATGAGGCGCTGGAACTGCCACAAAAATACGTCTGAAGCAAAACAAGCGTGGAGCTGAAAACTTGCCCACTGGGTGGGAAATTCAAACAGAAAGAAGAAGCCGTTCTTGGGTCTTAGGTTAGAGGAGGGCCTCTGAAATCATTTTCAAAGGTTTTATACGGTGGCCCTGAGGTGTAAATGAACATTTGAAAAAAACAATTATCTTGAAGATCCTGCCGAGTTTTTCCAGCATCATAATTTCTTCTTTAAGCTTGAACAAAACATAGCTCTCCATTTCTACAGGCTAAAGGCTAGCCTGCTAACTGTACCTCCGTTGTGTGTGTACTGTACATTGTTCTGTTTTTATTTAATTTTATGGTAATAAAGTTTTTTTAAATACACCACTTCCGCTTTGGCTTTATGTAATTCCGTTTTTTCTAATGTTGTGTTTTTGTTGCGTTTTTTTTTTTTAATGTAATTCCGTTTTTTCAAATTTGTTCATTTACACCTCAGGGCCACCGTAGTTTTACCTGTGTCGACAAAAACACAAGGGTGGCAATTCACAGAGAGTTCTTTTCACTGGAACCAGTTTTCAAAGAAACCAGTTTTGGAGCTCAAACTGTTTCCAGGCTGAAATGATCAAAGAAAAAAAATTGCGTATTAAAAAAAAACGTTCCTGTGTGGACAGCCTCTTAAAATAAGGCTGGATTTGAGGAAGCAGGTAGCGTGATTAAACCTTAAAAACTGAACCCCTCCGATCACTCGTTTCTAGTTTTACAAGTTAGATTAGTCTTACAGCTGGTTCCTGGTGGGACATATAGATATACAGTATATATAGATAAGCTAAATCTGATCTTATTAAAAACATCCTAAGATAAATTTCAACAACAGTAGCTTTCCATTTTTAAATTGTTGTTAATGACGTCCGACACACTTTCACAACCCTGTGTACTCATAATAAAATAAGAAATGTACAGTTTGAATATATTGAATGTGTCAATATTTAGCTATTTATAAAACTGCAAAACACAAATCTATGAAGTCTTTGCAAATTGTCTAATCCAGGTCACCTACAGCACAGGTCACATTTGTCATAATTTGCACATTTAATGATGCAGCTGCAGGTAAACTATAATTTTTATTGAGTAAACTCACGTGACGAGGACTCTCTGCAGGTAGTGCTGCGTTACATAAATATGATTCTAACAGTGTTTGAATCTGAAGTCTGATCTTTCACAAGGATCCAAACAGAGCGTCGCTGCCAGCGTGACGCATCTTTTTAGCTCTGGAGTATTTTAGGTTCACTTGTTGAAAACACTTTTCATCTTTGATTGTTTGGGTTTCCCCGAGGCTTTTCCCTGCTCATCTTCAGCTTGTCCTTTTCTTTCATGCCTTTACTCCGCAGCCTCTCTCTCTTCCTGCTTGTCTTTCAGTCGCCACTCTCCTGGACTGTAACGCTTGTTGAAATGATGCAGGTCATATCTGAAGAATTATATTAAAATTGATTTATTTTTGTTGTTGATTTGCTGTGGTGGATAAAGTGTCTGTTGCTGCTAAAAGCTGCACTGCAGACGTCTGTTTCCAGGCCTGATCAGGTCAAGTACTGTATAACAGCACAACGATGTGCACCACTCCAGGGGCCTGAAGTGAACATGTCTACAGAGATGGTTATAATTTCACTGTCTCCTGTTGGTCCTTTGTAAAGACTGAATGTAATTAAAACCCATCCTGAACTGTACTGCACCCTGACTCCTCTAATTATTTGAAAATAAGCAGATTAATATCTCAGTAAACCTGCAGCTTCTTTGTCTTTGGAGATGAAAAAGTGTAGATATTGCGTTTACGTGAACTCACAACTGTCTAATTAAGTCAACAAAGATTTGGGCTGATAAAACTTCGTGGCTCAGGATCCAAGGTGCTTTGCTTAACTTCTAACTTGCTGAACAAGAAGCACGTTGCACAGTTCGACATCTCGATTGTCCCTGTGAGTGTGCTTTTTTCCTCAACACAAACCTTATCTTGTAAAGGCAGCGGTGTATTTGTCGAGGGAATGTCCTTTCGCTGCTCATCCCTGAGCTACCTGTCATAAAATCGAGGAAGGTGAGGCGAGTTGACTGCAAGGCTGTGCTCAGGCAGCTGGATAACAGCTCCGGCTGGTGATGGATCACATTTCCCTCCAGCATCAACTCTGCATCGACACAGCTCCTCACCGACTTGCACACATGAAAACACAGCGATGGCTTCAGGAGGCAGAGGATGCAGGAAAAGGTGCTTGGAGGAGGAAACGTCTCAGCGTGCAGAACATTTCTAAACATTTACGTGGAATTTAACAGCAGAAGAGCAACGATGCTCAGTGAGAGCAGAAAAAATATTCATATATATATATATATGTTTGTGTTTTTTACTGAATCGTTTGCCTGTAAGTGTTTCAGGAGGTCATGACTGTTTTTGAGTAACCAAACTGAAGGAAAAACACTTGAAGAATGTTCACAGAAAGTTTTTTTTTTAATTGCACAAAAATATGTATATGGAAACAATTTGTGTTCACAACATTTCACAATAAGTTGTTTATGTCCATACAAATGAAGAAAACAAAGGCCCAGCATTGAAAGGAATACAGTAGTCCCTCATTTATCGCGGGGTAACCTGAAGACCCGCAATAAGTGAAAAACCGTGAAGTAGGAATAGTAAGTAGTAGTTTATTTTAGTATATATATATATATATATATACTACTACTTACTATTCCTATAGGTGTTTTTAACCCCACACTATTGCATTATTCTAAATAATGTTTCTACATGCTCTAAAAGAGCACAGAATGTCATGATTTCAGTTCTCTGCCACCTGCCAGCGCTCTCGGTCACGCCCACTTCTCCACTGCAGAGTGGAAACCTTTTCTGCAGCTGTGGACTGCACACAGGTGCAGCAGGTGCTAAATAATTTAAAATAATTAATTTTAAATAAAATGTCCAGGCTGATCGTGCGTCTCATCCATGAATCATCCAACTGTGTGTCATGTCCAAACTTACTTTGAAAAACTGCGAGAGTGAGTCCGCAAGAAATGAACTGCGAAGTATCGAGGGACTACTGTATGTATCACCCAACTCCGTTCACACTAGAGAAACTAAATCTTTCATGTTGTGTATTTACGTAGCTCTTTAAACAACCTGAGTTTAAATAATAGTTTAATTCTGACCAGAGGGATGAGCTAATGGCTGGTCCAAGGGGAGCCAAGACCAGAATGTTTTGCTGCCGCCTTAAAACAACCTGAGTTGCAAAAATCTTGAAGCAATTCATACAAACACTTAAATTCTGAATTAAACACAATTTCTCCAAACTAGCTATCTTGAACAGGTAAGATAGTAACTGCTCATAAACTTTCCACCAAACCTCATTTCAAAAGCTCTGACCTAACCTTTGAATCATTCTGATCAGGTTAGGGCTGCATGTTAATACTTCATTCAGCTGGTAAACAGTATACAGTATAAAGAACTAATGAAATTATACACCACACAGAGACAAAATCCCCCCTCCCTCCGAGGTAAACAGACCTGACATGTGAGCTGGTCCTCCAGCAGTAATCATCACTAATTTCATTTATTTTGCACCTTTGGCTCAAGCTCCAGAATACAGATGTGTCCCTGCAGTTCATCCCTGAATCCATGCAGTGCTCTCTCTGTTTATCCTCAGGCTGCTGCTCCTCAATTACACCTCACATTTAGCCGTAGCAAATAAACCCATTGATGCTTCATTTGTTTTGGACTGTTCACTTCATAACTGGAAGACGTATAAAAAACTTTAATTCCATAATACTACATCAATAAAATTTCACTGAGTATCCAGTCTGCACAACAAACTGCTCATGCTTCTTTTTCCTTCTGAACGAGGTGAGACTGAGACAGACACTCGTCTCCAGTGGCTTTTCATACTTAATGAATGTCTGATGACAGTCACTGTGCAACGTGCAGAGTGCCACACTTTGTCTCAAAGGTGCCATATCCTTGAGCTTTAGATAATCCCTCAGAGTATTTTACGGATGATACGCATGGAAAAAAATCATAATGAGATCCAAGACTTCTGCAGATCTATCTGGAGGCAATCTAAAATGAGAGGCAAGGACAATTACAACATTTTCTCTGTGAGAAAGAGGAAATGGGTGAGAATCCCACAGGTCACCTCCAGAGGATTTGGCCAAATGACTTTTTGTTGCTTCCTCAATCCGGTCAGAATTAACTCTTTTTCCAATCAGAAGTTATTCAAAGCTTTATCTACAACAGGCAAGATATTAATTGTTCATAACTTTTCCCAGCCCTTCAGCTGGCTTGTTATCTGCACTTTAGCTTAGCCTAGTCCCTGATGATTGCCCATCTAGAGCTTGTACCCATTCTCTTTTTGCTTCTCGTCTCCACCTCATCTGTTTATCTCTCTGAACCAGCTTTGGGATGGAGTCTCAAACCGCAAACCATGTTTGTTTGGCAAACCCGACTCATCTTTATGGGAATAAGCGTCTGACTCTGTGGGTTTGATTCTGTGACAGCAGATGGCTGCCATTTCAAAGCCTGCTTTAATGAGTGAGAATTATGGTGAAAGAAATTATAGACAAACTAAAGCAGAAAGTGAAAATGTGCTAATAAAGTCACATGATTGATC